ACTCCAACGGAATTTTGCGCTCAAAAATATTTTATTATGACCGCGATAGATCCACCTGACTGAAAATTTAAGAACGTTGATCCACTAAAAGCTATGTTAACGAAGAAATTTTAGATTACGGCTTTTAGTTTGGATTAGGCCCATAATCTATACATATATTATATAAAAATTGAAGTGCCTGTCTGTAACAGTGAAAAATTACCTCTTGTTGAGCTCAGGGATTTTTTTATTAAATCATTTTTTAAATTTCCGTTAATCTGTCTATCTGTCTAGGCTAATCTTCGAAATGGCAGAAATTAATGTGATTCAACTTCGCGAACAGATAAAAATATACCAAGAGTGCTCTATTTAAATAAAACTAATTTTACGGATTTTATCGCCACTCTTGATTTCGATGATTTTTCCTAATTTTTAATAAATACTACTAGTATTCCAAGTTACTCGAAAGATTAAAACGCTTGTGTTAAAAGTGGTTCACGTTCAGTGGTCGAGTAGCGAATTCGAACCTACGACCTTTTAATTTCATAGGCCGTACCCTTAACCATCAGGACTACGGTCTCTTATGGTGGTAAGTAAATTCAAACCCAGTGCAAACTTAGGAATACCGTTGGGAATCAAGGATTTAATTTAACAACAGTACAGGACTTAGATATAATGGCGTGCATCATCTTTCGTAATGCGCAGCAAAGATGTGGAACAATTAGCCGGCGTTTGTCCTTTCGTCCGATTACAATATGGGCATCTTCAAGGCGAGAGTTAATAAGGCTTTTACTTCACTAAAACAGTGCGATTTACTTTAAGAACTAAGAATACCACCAGTTACCACCCAGGTGGGAATGTAGTCAAGCACTAGATTGTAATAAGTAAAATATGAGCAAAAAGTGTACGCGCAACGTAAAAATTCGTCCCAAGACACTCGTGTCCGATGTCAACCTTATGCGGCAAAATTGGTTGCGGACTTGACTCTCAACTCTTACGTGGTAAAGCTGTGTTGCAGTTATATATTTGGTGTAGCACGAATGGATCGGCTCGACCGGGGGAGTAAGACTCTCTCACAGAATACCGGTGTAAAATAGCAGGTCAATGCTGCTTTATTTCGTATGGTGAGTGTAGAGAACCGGAGACCCTTTTTACTGGAAACGAGACATTCCATCTTAGTCCTCAGAGGAAACAACGCATTCGCACATGTCTATGGACCACAGCATCCACTTATCATCAGGTGGACTGTATGATCGTTTGTTCCTCTATTAAAAAACAAACTACACTTTTTTTTACTTTTTCAAAATATACGTGGTGGAGCCATGCTGCAGCTATATTAATAGTATAGTTGTAGCACGAATTGGTCGTCTCAATCGGGGAAGGACCACGCTCCCACAGAATAACAGCATAAAATAGCAGCTTAATGCTGCTGTGTTTCGTATGGTGAGTGTAGAGAACCGAAGACCCTTTTTACTGGAAAAGAGGCATTCTATCTTAGTCTTAATTAATTCGCCAACGAAGATAGATGTAGATGTCTATGGGCCACAGCAACCACTTGCCATCAGGTGGACTGTGTGCTCGCTTGTCACCCTTATTCTATAAACAAAAATATATAAATTACATTGTGCACTGGTACACAAGCATAATGTTATCGGCGCAGCCTGAAGGCCATTGAAAACTACGTTAACCACATATATTTTTACTATTTAGGTATAAACTAAGAAACCATGTATTCTTGGCTAAGTATTTTAATGGTTCGGTATATCAAGAACTCTATAGCATTTTTAGCATTAACGCTGCGGGCCACGAGTTTGAATACCGCAACGACAAGTAATTTGTTTGGTCTTAGATCAATTACCTAATTAATTAAGTAAAATTTAAAGTAGTAAAGTTGCAGCCTATTTACGTTCCACTACTGGGCACAGGCCTCCTCTCATTTCTGAGACGGTTTTAGGGCAAGGAAATGTCCGCTGCGCTGCCCCAATGCGTGTTGGCGAACTTCACATGTCTTCGAAATATTTTTTTCTTATTTCTCAGACTTGCAGGTTTCCTCACGATGTTTTCCTTCACCACCAAGCACGTGGTAAATCAGCACGTAAAATTGCAACTAACAATTTCATTGGTGCCGGCGGGGATCGAACCCGGGTTGCTCGAGTACTGTGAAGCTTACAGCGAGAGCTAACCATCTGAGCTACCACGGCTCTCAATTAATTAGTTTGAGTGCAATTAATGTCTGTAAAACGCATCCACGGTACAGATGAAACGGTGAAAAATTGGGAAGGTAGTTTAAAAAAATTACGACAGTACGATTTTAGATTATGTATATATCACGGCTAAAAGCCTGAGTGTGATCACACCTAATTTTAGCCGACTACAACTCGATGCTGCTAATTGCGGTTGGTTAAACTTAGGTGTATTTGATTTGTTTATCGCGAAAACTCTAAAATTAACCAGCTATATCTTCATCATAGCAACTAGATAGTACAAAAAAATGTCTGCGGCTGTCAAAATGCCAGTCTAGCGTGGCAACGATAACAAATATCCCTCTTATGAGGCAATCAAACGGGAGAACAGTGCAGTGGACTGTAATGAATTTATGAATGAAATATGACTCAATTCTTATTTCTTCGTGATAGCAAAGTTTATTTTAACATAAGTAATCTCTTATCTGTGCACTCGAACTATTCCCCGTATCATTTATTCGAAAGCATGTTCAAATACCGTTAGTATTTTCATTTAACTTGCAATAATGATGGGAGGTTAAAAAACATCATACAACTAGTAACTTTTCTACAGAAGTAAAGTTTACAAATGTATCCTCGACAAAGAATTAAAAATACAGATGTGTTATCCCTGTGGACTAAGACGGAATGTCTCGTTACGTTACGGAGACCCTTTTTACTGGAAATGAGGCATTCCATCTTAGTCCTCACGGTTGACAACGCAGCTTCATTTTGATTCGCAAACGTGGATAGCTGTAGATGTCTATGGGCCACAGCAACCACTTACCATCAGGTAGACTGTGTGCTCGTTTGTCACCCAACTAATAAAAAGGCTCTCCGGTTCTCTGCACAAACTACGAAACGTAGCAATATCATGCTGCTATTTTAGTGAGAGCGTTGTCCTTTCCTGGTCGAACCGACTAATTCATTCTGCAGCCATAGTACAGCTGTACCGTGGCTCTACCTGATTTTGTCTGATTTCTAACTAGATATAAGGCATTCTATCTTAATTATTATCACCTGTTGAAAACCGTGTTGAGTCGACGTAAGTGACAACATTACCGACATGGATATTTTGGTATTACGATTAAAATTCTGTACGTTTCAGACGAACTTTTTTTTTTGTTGGGTTGTGCAGAAGTTGGGTGTGGCAAAAGAAGCATGAGAGTAGAATAAATGCTGTAGAAATGCGGTCATTAAGGAGTATGTTAGGGATGAAGCTGAATGACAGAGTGAGAAATTGTTTAATAAGAGAAGAGTGTGGTTTGCAAGATGATGTTGTGACCAGGATTAAGAAAGGAATGCTTCGGTGGTTTGGCCATGTAGAAAGAATGAATGAGGAAAGAGTGACAAAGCAAATTTATGTTGCAGAGGTGAACGGCATAGTCGGGAAGGGTCGCCCTAGGCGAAAGTTTATCGACCAAATTGGCGATATATTAAAAATGGGCCAAATCAAGAGTATTTTTAACCGACGAGCGTGTATGCGTAGGAATATGGATGTGGAGGAAGCGAGAGAGGTGTGTCAGGATCGTACCAAATGGAAGTCCATAATCTCTGCCTACCCCTCTGGGTGACAGGCGTGAGTGTTTATGTTTATGTTATGTTATGTTTCAGACGACGGTATATCCCGGCTTGCAGTTGATAATATTGAGATTAAAAATTCTATACATTAATACAAAAAATTCATTTCGAAAGATACAATTGTCTCTTACGTCTACTTACTCTATTGTCACATTCTGTCCCGTGGATGACGTAAAAGGGGAATAACGGAGATGCAACATGGCTTCCTACAGGTGATAATATAAGATCTCCCCATATCTGGTTAGAAATTATTTTCCGTGGTATAGCCACGGTGCAGCTGTAGTATATTATATAGCTTCAGCACGAATGAGTCGGCTCGAATAGAATGGGCAACGCCCTCACTAAGATAGCAGCATGATAATGCTATGTTTCGTAATTTTTGTAGAGAACCGGAGACCCTTTTTAGGGTTTCGTGTGCAAAAGGTAACCAACGCGACCCCATTACTAAGCCTTTGCTCTCCATTCGTCCGTCCGTCTGTCTGTCAGCGGGCTTTATCACATGATCCGTAATAAGTAGACAGTTGAAATTTTCACAGAATATCTATTTCTATTGCCGCTATAACAACAAATAAAAATATGTTTTACGATGGTATGGAACCCTTCATGCGCCAGTTCAACTCGCACTTGGCCGGTTATTATTGGTTATAAGACACGAGCAGAGAATCGAGACAAAACGAGACACCGTGTATCTTATTCCTCAGGGATAACACAACTCTATTACAGAACGAAATGGGGAACAACATAACATAAATTTTTAAAATAATATACATTTTATATACTTTATACCTTCGATTGTTGTCAATTTGGATAAACACTGGTACTTGTTTCACGATATTTATTTAAATTATTAAATTATCTTTTCTAGAAAACAACTCACCAGTTTCGCGTCACGGCATCTTCAGGGTATATGACACAAAAAAAAACTATACGGAATGAAAGTAACGATAATTATACGGAATAAAACTATGTTTTTTATGATTTTACCGCGTTTAATTTTAACTTTTTTGAATTCCCCACGTTTTGGGCACTTTACAGCAGCCATGGCCACGAGGGGTACAGAGGTGTTTTACGGCCTTAATAAGAAATCACAAGACCTCCTGTAATTTCAATAGAAATCATGGTGTCAGTAGCTTTGTGCGCACTTTGTATCAGTTTATATGGCATTATACTTTTGAAGCGGTGCGTTGGTCCGATGGTCCGTTTAGGCATTGTTATTATCTGGTTATAAACGCAGGTACATCGGATGTCGCGTTCATACTCGGCCAGCCCAGCGACAACGACTGGGAAGACATGGGAAAGTCAGACAAGGCTCAAGGTAAGCGTTCAAATTCTATCCTTCCTAAAGTCGTATTTTTTTTAAAGAATTTGTGTGACAAACGAGCACACAGTGCGCCTGATGATAAGTGGATACTATGATTCATAGACATCTACATTTATCAATGACTATATAACCACTATTCTTTTAGGACATTTATCCTCGATTAAGTACCTATATTGATAGGATACCTATACATATTGATGTAGATGAGTTGTCACCCCTAAGGATTAAGGTGGAATGCCTCGTGTCCAGTAAAAATAGTCTCCGGTTCTCTAAACTCGCCATACGAAACACAGTAGCATAAATCTGTTATTTTTCGTGGTCTTTCCCCGGTCGAGGTGACACATTCGTGCTACAACCATAATATAGCTGCAGCATGGCTCTACCACGTACAACCATCTTCGGTACTTCCTATGAATGAATGAATGATTTTTTATTCAATATTGATTATTATATAATACTTATTGAAAGTCATTTTTTTATTTACCACTGATTCGGAAAGTACCTGCGTCCTGGGAAGAACCAGCAAGAAACCCACTGGGACTTTTATAACATATTTCACTTTAAATAATTTTGTTTGTACAATTTTTAAATGAATTTTAATAGAACCAGCATGGTGGTGGCCACCTCATTCCCAGGGTATGCTCACGTGGTAGAGCCATGCAGCGGCTATATTAGTAGTATAGTTGTAGCACGAATGGGTCGGCCGGGGGAAGGACCACGCTCTCACAGAAAACCAGCGTAAAATAGCGGCTTAACGCTGCTGTGTTTCGTATGGTGAGTGTAGAGAACCGCAGACCCTTATTACTGGCAAAGAGGCATTCCATCTTAGTCCTCACGGGTGGCAACGCATCTGCATCTTGAGTCTTTATTGATGATAGATGTAGATGTCTATGGGTCACAGTAGCCACTTACCATCAGGTGGACTGTGTGCTCGTTTGTCACCCTATCCTATAAAAAAAGGAGTTATTTTCATCCATATATTCGTTAATATTACAATAAAACTTTTTGTACAATTTTTCTTTAATAAACTTTTTAACTTATAATTGACAAACTTTGAACACTCTTGTTTATTGACAAACTTAAAAACGTAATGTTTGCGTTACTGTTGGCACGATACTGTATTTGAAACCTTTTACACGACTTATTAAGGTAGACATTTGTTTAATTTATGTTTTCGTAATACAAGCTTGTAGCGGTTTTTTTCGCTAAGAAAAGTCTGTCAGGGTTGCCTCCCTCTTATCTATTTCTGGAAATAAGAACAGTACATCCACTGCTGTATTGTAGTTTTTAAAAGTGTGATAGTCAACACAATTACAGACTGTAAGCCATTTTATTTAAATTCGCTGAGTTTATTTTTTAAAGAAAAGATGACAAACGAGCGCACAGTTCACTTGATGGTAAGTACAAGCTTAGTAAGCTGAGGCCCATAGATGTACTTGTCTGCCGACTTCCAAAAAGGAGACGATACTCAATTCGACGCGTATGTTTTTTTTAATGTGTGTTACCTCATAACTTTTTACTGGGTGAACCGATTTCGATGATTCTTTTTTTATATGAAAGCTGATACTTCTCGTGTGATCCCATATGATTTTGATCAAGGTCAGACCAATAGTTTTTGAGTTATTTGAGTTATTCTTAATAACTTATATTGAAGTAGGCTGTACAAAATGTTTAATTTTAAATTATAAAAATTAAGATACAGATGCGTTGTCACCCCTTGATGACTAAGATGGAATGCCTCGTTAAAAATTGTGCTTCGGTTGATACGACACACAATAGAAAGTTTTAAAAGTTATACAGTACAATTCCAACATTAAAATAAGCATTTTCCGTTACAGCAAAAGAGCCAGAGCTGGCCAGTTGTGATGGTCCAGCCGCGGAACAAATTCCTAATGGGGCAGATCTCGGCAATCACTACATGCATGCGTTCGAGGATTTGAAAAAGAAATCCTGCAGCGCCTTCTGCTGGAAGATATTGTATGTGGTAGTTGGGATTATAACCGTGGTAAGTACACCACAAGTTGAATAAAACTAGTTTTACTTTCTTTTTTTATTGATTTTTTCGCGTTTAATTAACTTATTTATCTTATTTTTAATAATTCCCGACGTTTTGGGTGCTTTACAGCACCCGTGGTCACGGGGGACTGAGGTGATTGACGTCCCGATATCAAAGTTAACCCGGAGTACCTTCAGCTTTTTTAATTATTAATTTTGGTCCGATCTACGCAGAATGAAGTCTTGCAGTGGTATGCTTGGGTTTAATTTTAATTTTATTAATTACAAGATCCCAAGCAGGTGGTAGTAGAGCAAATCATTACGTACACCACAAGTTAGTACTAGGATGTAAGGAGGTAGTAGTAAGTCACCGATAATCAATGTCTTCGTTAATCTCAACGTAAGAAAATTTATCACCTATATCTCATAATTTCGTCCCGTAGGTAACAAGCGACAATGGAACATGCCAAAAATATCTCATAGCTTCCCTAGGTAACGGTATAACCATGTCATTTACTCCTTGTTAGACAGGTAGCAGCGTAAAAAAAATTGTGCAATGTCTCGTTACCAATCCACCCTCTAAGCGATTAAACCAAATCCAAGTTTCGTATACTTGATTGAGTTCAAAAAACATAATTTAAAATTAAAAATTTCGTACAACCGACTTCAATATAAGTTATTAAGAATAATTCAAAAACTATTGGTCTGACCATGATCAAATTCATATGGGACCACACGAGAAGTACCAGTTTTCAAATAAGAAAAGAATCATCGAAATCGGTTCACCCAGTAAAAAATAATGAGGTAACACACAATATGTTTACCGATAGCTCGTAAACGGCTAAAGCGATTAAAATTATTCTTTTTTTTAAGTAGGTTATACTTTAGGGGTTGTCCAATAAAAAATTTGGACAACCCCTAAAGTATAATATATAAACAGGAAATAAATATTTTAATTTAAAACTATATACGAGTAACATTCGAATTAATTCGGGACAGTCGCTTCAATTCTTCAATACCCTATGTTTTCTTTTATTGCTTTGTAACTAGTCTAGTCTAGTCTAGTCTAGTGGGTTCGAATCCGGGGTCGTACGAAAGTTATGTTTTCCTGTCAAGAAATTCTCTGTAGCAGTCCGGAGTCAGGAAGGTGACGGTGTTCCCGTGTCTCGGAAAAAGCACGTAAAGTTGTTGGTCCTGCGACTAATCTCTCTCCGGTCGTGTCGAATTATCATCCCATCGTACTATGGGAGTGAGGGAATAGAGAGTACATCTGTGCGTGCGCATACACTCGTGCACTATGATCCTGTCCTGAGCAGATCGCTAGTCTCCGTTGGGACTTGCCGCCGTGACCGAAATATTCCATCTGAAGGAGATTAATATTTAGACGGCTCCGTGGCGCAGTGGCTTAGCAATGAGTTGCTGCGCTGGGGGCCGCGGGTTCGAATCCCGCACGGAACAAGTATTTGTATGGCCTACAAATAATTGTTCCGTGTCTGGATGTTTGTCCTTGTGCAATTTGTGTTTGTATAATGCCTCCACGATACAGGACAAAATCCTAGTGTAGGAGTAAAGTTTTTTTTTTAAAGAAAATATTATCTTTTAACACTTATTTTAGAAGCTAATATTATGTGAAAAATATTTAATTTTTTTCGGTTTGAAGTTGGTTTGTACTATCCATTAGAAGTTTAATTATTTCAAGGCATTTTCGTTTATATCAATTCCAGTTACAATCCGTTGCTGTAATCGCGGTGGCTGTCACTTCAGCTATTGCGACAAAGATCTACAGCAATGATATGTCTGGTCGGCTGGTGGCTATGGTGGTACAGGCGGTGACCGCGGCGGTCACGCTCTCGGTGATCATCTACGGTGTTATCGGAACATTAAGGGATAAAAGGAGGCCTGTGCGCTCGGTATGATATAAGGTTTTTAGCTAATAATTTTTTGTTTTTATATTTATATTCCTTCACAACATCTTCATGCGTCACAGCATTACTATGAAAACAAAAAATAAATTTTAATTGTTCACGTGCCCACGTACTTCGTAATCAACTACAAATTTAACAAAATAATTACCTGCTATTAGAAGCGGAAATAATTTAAAATTAAAAATTTTGTACAGCCGACTTCAATATAAGTTATTTATGAATAAGTCAAAAACTATTGGTCTGACCTTGATCAAATTCATATGGGACACATCCATAGGAGAACTATCAGCTTATATAAAAAAAAAAGAATCATCGAAATCGGTTCACCCGGTACAAAGTTATGAGACACATAAAAAAAACATACAGTCGAATTGAGTACCGTCTCCTTTTTGGAAGTCGGCAGAAAAGAAAGAAGCTACCATACATACCCTAAATGTATCCTAAACTTATTTTTATAAACCTATGAGAGAAAATAAAACGATTATGAACAAAAAAGAAATTTTAATTGTAGAAGATAATTTTTGTCATAAAACACCTTTTTGTGGCATATATATAAGAAATAGGTATATGGTATCACGAACTTTTTTTTTAGATGGAGTAAATACCAATATATTTGAAGAACGTTGTTTTTATGTAATACTAAACTTTACGGCAGCGCATGCGATAAAACAGTTAGAGAGCGCCTTTCCTTTCGACTTGAATACAAAAAGATTTTTTAAAATCGGACTGGTAGTTCCAGAGATTAGCGCGTTTAAACAAACAAAAAAAACTCTTTCGCTTTATGATAATATTAGTATAGATTGGAACAAATCGTCATTGATGCCGCAAAGAGGCGAACGCCAATTTTTCAAAAAAAAATACAGGAGAGCAAGAAAACATTTATTATTCCCCGATTACTAGCTTTTTTTTCATCAGAAAATTAAATATGTTAGACTTAATCGTAGTTTCTTGAAAATTGAAGTTCGCACCTTTGCGACGTTAGCGACGACTTGTTTCGTCGTTCCTACTAATACTTCACGTGCGCAAGCGTGTGCATTTCGCAGTTCCCTACATTCACCTTATCAAACACAGCACCATTATACTGCTATTTAACGCTGGTATTATGGTGATGAGAGGTGATCAACTCGGTCCTGCGGTCAGGTGCTGTAGCCATTGCTACAGTGCGACTCTACCAGGTCAAGGAATACGAGTATATGTGCGTGAGGGCGTTTCTTACAATAAGTTGAACATGGTCTTTGCTTGGATTCGGCGTTATTTGAAATAGAAGCATCGCTTCGTCTATGTTTCTACCGACTTCAAAAAGGACGAGGTACTCAATGCGACTGTATTTTTTTAAATTTTTTTTTAAATATGTGTTATCTCATAATTTTTTTCTAGGTGAACTGTCCCATATAAATTTGATCAAGGTCTGACCAGTAGTTTTTGAGTTATCCTTAATTATTTTTATTTATATTAAAGTCGGTTGTACAAAATTTTTAATTTTACCACTTGTTGGTGGTCTGATACCACCGAGCTCGTGGTAAATTGGCACTTAAAAGACGATAAACAAATTTCAGGGTTCCCTTGGGCAGAATACTCGGTTTGATCGCGTTATATTTCAAGAAAAGTTGTTAGATGTATCTCAACCTACCACGGCTCAGGTTCAACTCTAAAAAAGCCATAAATAATTTAACGATCAACAAGGTATTAGCAAATGCACCGGTTCCGCTTCTTTTATGTGCGGTTTTGATCCATTAACTGAATTACAAATGTCTATTAATGTAAGGAACAATAAACTATAAAAGTTATGCGTAATTGCAAATGTGATTATTTGCGCCAACTAAGACATAATGCATCACATTAAGTGCTTGTTTCACTTCAACTTCAACGGCGGATCCAAGGGGGGGGTCATGGGGGTCATGACCCCCCCCCCCTGAGCTGGTTCCAGGACTTAAGTTGACCACTAATTGAACATAATGATTTTATTTATATATTTTGTCACCATACAGATTTTATGTAACTACATACCTTCAATATTTAATTAATTTAATATAATATAATAACTTTGTATGATTGCAAACGTTTGGGAACGAACGCATCGAAAATTTGAATTTTACCGCGCCACACTTGCTCGCGTTTGTCGACTACGTAACGTCTAGCTAGACCTAACCTCAATCGGAATTGAAACGACTAAACTTCAACATATCATAACATAGTTTTAAGTTAAAAAACTAAAATTTCTTTCTACCTATAATGTGTTTGTAAGTGTATTCTTAAAAATGTGGCTTAGCTTTCCATTGACGTCAGTGGAGTTTGGTGTTGATACGTATTTTTACAGAAAGATTGTAACACTATTATAAGCACACACACAAAGTCTCAATATACGGAAACGCGTAATTTTTGAGAAAAGAATAATTGAAAATCAATTATTCTTGCAATGTTTATGTCTAATCTGCTAATTAACTGGCGCCATTTTGTAATGTCATTGTCGACGTCAATAGGGATGTCGATTCTTTCCGAAAAAGGTCGATTTTTAAATCGATTCAAATCGTAAGCTGATGTATCGGTTCACAAAAAATCGATTTCTAAAATATCTATATTTTTTTAATGTTTCTATTTATAATGTAAATATAAACCCATTTTATGAAAAACAAGAAAGATACCATGATAAATGATCTCTTATTGAAATTTGTTTTATTTAACAGTACCTATTAGGGCAGATAACAAATAAAATAGGTTAGGTTCAACTTATGTCAAAGAACCGAATTGATTGACCCCGACTCCACCTGGTACGAGTCTGTCCTACCCCTAGAGTGGTTTTATAGAGCCGGAGGCGCGTAGGGGGAGCAGCCTCCGCCTGCTGTAACAAATCGTAGGCATCGGACGAGCCGGAGCAGCTAAGGCTGGTCGCCGAAGGCGACCAACAAGCCGATGTTGCGGAGGCGAGGAGGGATACCTGCGATTTGTTACGCTAAGGCGTAGAGGTTGCTCTTCCCGCAGCGCCGGAGACGTAGCAGTCTCAAAATAGATACAGAAATCCTTATGAATCAGTCCCCTTATTTTTTTTATGATGAAGGGGATTTTTTCTCATAAAATGGATTTATATTTACATTATAAATGCAAACATGAAAAAAATATCGATATTTTAGAAATCGATTTTTTGGGAATCGATACATCAGCTTACAATTCGAATCTATTTAAAAAATCGATCTTTTTCGGAAAGAATCGACATCCTTACTGACAATAATAATAAAAATGGCGTCAGTTTCACGGTAGGAATTGACTAAATATTGCAAAATTATTTGATTTACAATATTTTTTTCTCAATAAGTACGTGTTTCCGTATATTGAAACTTTGTGTGTGTGCTTATAAAAATGTAATCTTTCTGTAAAAATACGTATCAACACCAAACTCGACTGACGTCAATGGAAAGTCGTACCAAAATTGTTGCTGCAAATTCATTAATTACAAGAAATGGTAAGTAATCAGTTTCTCATTATTCCAGTGCATGTGTTTTAACTTAAATGTTATTGTTGTTAATGTTCATAAAGTACCTCATAGGTAGATATGCAGTGACTTATGTAGGTACCTACCTATAGGTATATTTTTTTTTTGGACGAGGGAGATTGAAGGGCATCAAGCTTACTGACCTAACCTAAAATCTTAGATAAATTCACACAATGAAATCAAGTATATCGTCGTGACCACACTGATTATAATGCTTTTAAAAATAAAATAAGAGAACAACCAACAGAATGAATATAGCATGCATAAAACTTATAATCTTGCTTAAAATGTTTAAAAGCACCTAGCGAAAACTTTGATGCAAAGTATTGCGTTATACGAGGGTGGATTGAAAAGTACTCGGCCTAACCAAGAAAATAAACAAATACTAAATCAGTTATATTATTATTTTTCTACATAATCACCATCAAGTTCAATACACTTTTGCCACCTCCCCTTCCAAGCATTTAGACCGTTGAAAAAGAATGATTCTTCCTTAGAGTCAAAATATGCGTCTACTGCTGCTTTAACCTCGTCGTTTGTCGAAAATCTTTGACCTCCCAAGTGCTTTTTTAGGTTAGGGAACAGAAAGAAGTCTGATGGTGCCAGATCAGGTGAATACGGCGGATGCGGTAACAGTTCAAAGCCACAGTTGTGAATTTTAGCCATTGATTGTACTGACGTGTGAACACGGGCGTTATCTTGATGAAACAGGACTTTTCTTCTGAGCATTCCTCGACGTTTTTCTTTTATTTCCTCTCGTAAACGGCGTAGTAAGGTGCAGTAGTAATCAGAGTTTATATTCTGACCCCTTTCAAGATAATCAATCATAATCACACCTTTCGAGTCCCAGAATACTGAAGCCATCACCTTATTTGCCGACAAAATCGACTTAGCCTTTTTAGGGGGTGGTGAACCAGGTCTTCTCCACTGTTTTGATTGTTGTTTTGTTTTCGGTGTACAGTAATGAACCCATGTTTCGTCCATAGTAACAAAACGATTTAAAAAATCATCTGCATCGGCTTCAAATAACTCCAAACAGTCGCGTGAAATAGTCAATCGCGTCCTTTTTTGTTCAACTGAAAGCAGTCGCGGAACCCACCTCGCAGACACCTTGTGGAAACCCAACTCGTTGACAATGATGTTTTGAGTTCGTTCATAAGAGATGCCTATAATCTCGGCTATCTCTCTAATTTTTAATCTGCGGTCTCCCATTATTAAATCAAGTACTTTTTTAATATTTTCGTCAGTAGTTGACGTCGAAGGCCTTCCAGAGCGGGGTTCATCTTTCACACTCTCTCTACCATGCTTAAATTCTGCTATCCATTTTTTGACGGATGAATATGACAGAGCACAATCGCCTAATGTACTGACCATGTCATCATGGATGGCTTTTGATGATAGCCCCTTCTTATGGAGGTACTTAATGACGGCACGCTGCTCGATTTGCTCCATTCGCGGAAATTATGTCAGATTACTTTGTTAATAAATTTATAAAATC